GTATAATCATGTTTTCCTTCATGGATCCGGGTTCCAATTGTGTTAACCGGGCTACCTGAGCATCCGAAGACACATCTATCTGCCATACCTCTTAGACAGAGTAGGGAGTTGAGTGCCTGCATGGACTCTACACAAACATCCCCTGAGGTGGCCACAGAGAACACAGGAAGCTCTGCCGTGTGCTTGCATCCAGATGACATGTCAGAGCAAGTGCAGCCGGGCCTGCATCTATAACTTTAATGTAAATTGGCTGTGACGCCTGTGCGGGGGCCCAGATTTAGAAGCAGAGCAGAATGACTCCACCGAGGCTGGTGACAGGCTCTAAGCTCTGTTCCCATTGGAGAAAGTGGAGGGTGTAGCAGGAGGGAGAATTGCTCAGTCTGGTCTGGTGGCATTGTTTTATTAATGATCTGGATGAGCAGAGGAACAGTGATTTTAATTAAATTTGCCAGCAATATTAAAAGATGTCGGGAGCTACCGCTGAGGACACAGACACCTTGCAGAAGGCCCTGGGGGTTGGGGGGGCGCACATTAGGAAAGTAAGCCAGGAAGGAGACAGGAGGTCGTGAGCTGAGCCAGGACATGCGTTCTGCTGAAGGAGCAGGATGGGGGCAGAGGGTCACTCTGTGTGCAATGGACCATAGTTCCTTTTTATCTGCATTTACTCTGTTCCCAAATCTATTTTGAACTAATCTTCCTATTCCAGTCTCTTCTTCCTTAGAGCCATCCTAAGCCTTTGGTGAATTTTTTTTTTTCTGAACTATAAACAGACTGTGTTATTCTCCTGTTTAGAATCCCATCATTGGTTTTCCTTGCTTAGGATAAAATCCCATCTTCTCAGCCTGCCAGAGAATACATGTGGTGAATGAGCACTCTCCTGCCACCCAGCTTCACCTCTCTCCTGGCTTCTCTTCCCCACAGTGTAATCCAAGGCACACAGCAGCCTTTCTCAAGTCTCCATGTCTTTGCCTGGGCTTTTCTCTTTAACTGGAATGCCCTTCCTACTTTCTTCCTTTTCTTCTTTTTTAAAACTCACTCATGCTTGAAGACCTATTTCAGGGATCATCTCCTTCAGAACCGCCTCCTTGAATTCCAAGCTGGCTCCGCGCCCTCCCTGAGTACCCATAGCATTCTGCCCTTGCCCCCACACTTTGTAGGTAAACTGTCTATTTTTGTGTCTCTTTCTACTCCTACTCAAGTGTACCTTTGTGGGCGAACACTGTGTCTCGTTTCTTCATGTTACCCACTGGCATGTCGTGGCAAATCACAGGCATTTGTCAATATTTGTCAAGCTGAATGATGAGAAGAATATTCAGGTGGGTGACAGCCAGGGTAGTCCCGAGCCTGGGGACTCTGAAGCTCTGTCAAATGGCTAGTGTCTCCTATGTGGGAACAACTTCACAGACACATCAGACTGGAAGATGACTGGGGCCATTGATGTTCTACAACAAAATGGGACATTTTGGTAACACTGAGTGGCTAAAACCGTACCTTGAATGCCATTTCCCTGTGTATTTTGGCTCGATGAATGATTTTTTTTGCCTTACACTTTAAGTAAATGATTTAAATAAGACCTTTTCTCCAAAATATAAAAATAGAAATAAAAATTTTACTAACTACATAAGGTTGTTATAAAAATTACAGGTAGCATGATTGCGTGTAGTGAATGCTTATACATAGCAATTACTGTGAATATCTTTTTTTCAAATTGAGCCCTATTCCTGAGTCTGGGTCTTTAAAAGGGTAAGGAGACATCCTAAAACATTAGAATCTGCCTCAGTTTGTGATTGGTCCTGGAACAATAGCATTAAAATAACAACAACAACAACAATCGGCTTGGTCAGTGGCACTGTCCCCTTACAGTCCAACGATACTGCAGCCAGAATCTGTTTCCTGAGGGGGCAGAGTGCAGAAAGAGAAAGCAGGCACCGAGTTTCTTTCTTTACCGCCAGACACTGGTGCAGGTGCTTACTAGCCAGGCACCTTTCTGACTCTCCTTTTGCTCTTGCCTTACTTAGGCTAGCTTGTTTTCTCAGGAAACCAGCCTCCAATTCTGGCTCCGCAACAGGGCATTCCCCATGACAACCTGGCACCACAGTATGTCTACAGGGCTGAGGGGTAACTAAGAGCATGGCTCTCTTAAGTCTCCGCTGTGTAGAATAAGAGTGAGTCCTTGCTCTGTTGGTCAGGACAACTACCTCCATGATGACCCATGTCCTTTCTCACCTGTGGATGCCTACCCACTTGGGGATGCTACCTTCTGTCACCCTGTGGGCTCTTGATTAAAAGCTGCTTCAGCTGTGCCCATCTCCATCTCCTCCTGCATGGGGCTTGTGAGAATCCACCAAGTTAGAAGTTTTGAAAGTAGAGACCAGAAGGCAAATCCTCCTTTGTCCGAATTTCTCAAGGGTGAATGAGTGTCAGACCTGTGAATGGAAAATCTCTGTGGACATCACAGTTCCGAGAGCATTTTCAAGCTTTGGGTGTGATGCTGAACATCTTCAAGCACTCTGATCTTCCATGGTCATTTCATGACCCCTTATCCTCCAAGTGAGGTCAAGGACAGAGGCTCCAAGCTGATGATGATCAGTTCCTGAACTAGTGTGGGCCCCAGCACTTGGCTGCTGTTCTGAGCAATATGAAGGGGAGTTAATCTGTAGCTCTTTGGAAGAAAGACCTTTGTCCTAGATATTCTTTGGATATCCTTTGTCCAGGAGGGAATTTCTGTCTGTGAGTTTTAGGAATTTAAAGAAAGCCTGCACAACCTCTAAAATCGAGTTATGATTTGCCTATGAGATGTTTATATATTTCCAAAGCAATTAGCTATAATTTAGATCATAAAATAGTTTTTGAAGAAGGCTGACTGATCTCTCTGGAAGCTTTTTTGGCGGCTACATTTATCTGTTTCAAAAGCACTCATTTCCCGAACACTGCTAACACCTACTCAGGATTCCACAGTAAACAGGGGAGACCCAGACCTTGCTCTTATGTCATCACAGCTTAATGGATAAGACATTAATCATCTAATACTAGAAAATAAACATACAATTTCAAAGTATTTAGAATGTCATAGAGGGAAAGAAGCCAATGAGAGAACCTAGCAGAGAAAACCGACCGCTTTTAGCAGTCAGAGGACATTTTTGTTTGTTTGAGAAAGTGACACCTTGTTGATACAAAGCGCTGTCATGATTGGAAGGTACAAAGAAGAAACTCTCATTTCAGGCGTTAATAATGGCACATGCAAAGGTCCTGAGGTAGATATGGGCTTGTATAATCAGGGCAAAATGAAGAAAGGGCATTGTTGAGTTGTGATGAGAGAGTGGCAGAGGAGGAAGATAAGGGAGGAGGCAGCGCCTACAAGGCTTTATTGCTGGTCATGGCAGAGAATCAAGGATTTATACCAAGAGCAAGGAAAAAAAACCATGACAGAGCTTCAACTAGGGTGGGGGGTGATATGCTTAAATCTGTGGTTTTATGTATGTGGGGGGCTGCTGTTTGTTTATTCCTATGGTTGACTGGAAATATTGTCCAGTGGTAGGGCGCTTGTCTAGCAAGTGTGGGGTCCTTGGTTCTTATCCCAGAACCCTAATATTACTATGACTGAATGAGGAAAGCAGAATTGAGATGTATTCTCTGGTAAGAGTTGGAGTGAGGCTTCTAGTTAGAAGGTCACTGTAGCGGTCCAGCAGATAAGGAACAATGGTGGCTTGGGCCGTGATGATGGTGGTTAAGACTGGAAAGAGAGCTACTAGAATCTACTGCAGGACTGGACACAGAGCAGAGGGAAGAGGGATGCTGGAATGCTGGCAGGGCTGACACCCGTTATAACTGGGCAGGTGGGGGTGAGGCTTTCAGAAGCGAGAACCCAATGGAGAAAGAACAGCCAATGTGGAAGGTGGGGGCCTTGGTGCCTTTAAGGGGCTTCGCGAATGGAAGTCCACATCCCGGCATTACTAGCCACACTCCACAAGATTTTAGCAGCCAGGGGGAAGTGGATGGCTCACCTTCAAAATCTATTGCTTGGTTGTTTCCCTTCCTATTCTGTCCGAGTGAGCCAGTCAGCAAAGGACTTATAGCCACAAGCGAGCAGATGCTCGTAGCCTCGGCAGAACATACTGAGTGGCTTCTAGTCTCCTCAACACACAGTCATGACTCAGTGCTTGGAGCTCAACAGATAAGGCTGCATGCCACCCCCAAATATTCTTCAGGTCTTCACAGAACCGTTTATGAGAGCCGTCCGCATGTTTCATTAGTAACGATTCCTACTTCTTGGCCCCTTCCCATGTTTTCACTCAGAATTCAGTGGCTGAATAATCCATAGCCTGTTCTAAGCACAGTTTAACGGGAGGGCTGAGAGGTACAGTGGACAGGCACAGGGTTTTAGTTTAGCCGCAGTGCGGACAGCAGTCACTATGAAATGAATTTCATTATTTTTACAAGAAGCCTCAGAATTCCTGGCTGCCTCCCGAAGTTTTGTATTTGAAGAAGGAGCTTTTAACCCACGAGAGCTCAATTACTCACAGAACAAGGTGTCCTGTGTCAGGGACCAGCCCATTAAAAACACAGCTCAATTCAGCATATACGCTGGCAAACCCATGTTTTTGCAAGATTCTTGAGTATGAAAGCAGGGCAGGGAAGACTGGGGTTTCTAGCAACAGAACAAGTGGGAAGAAAGACCCAGGGCATACGGACCTATTTGAAGTTGATTCTGGGGACAAGTGCAGTTACAGCTTAGGACTAGGAGGTATCACTTGGGTTTCCATTGCCAGCTATTTCAAACCATTCTTCAACCGAGTCTCCACCAGATGGTTTTTTGAGGGCAAAGAAGCTATTTGTGTCTCCCACTGACATCTATTTTTCCGAGTGAGAGACGGCCCCATGTGTCAGTGCCATATGTCAATCGAGGTGAACCATCCATTTGTGTTGGTGGACACCTGCCATTTGTTGCCCCCATTTTTTCTCATGTCTTTTCCTGCCTCTCTACTTTTTTTTTTTTGTAGGTCTCAGGCCTGTCAGGAGGACCATTGGTGCTGTGGTGGAGCCAAAATCTAAGTCTTGTGTATGGCGTGGTTACGGTTGCAGCCTCTCACCTCTGCCTTCCTCCATTTTGGGCTGGTTACTTTTGTGCTCTTCCTGAATGGTCTTCAAGCAGAGGCTGGCGACTCGGGGGATGTGCCCAGTGCAGGGCAGAATAATGAGTCCTGTTCAGGATCATCGGACTGCAAGGAGGGTGTCATCCTGCCAATCTGGTATCCAGAGAACCCTTCCCTTGGAGACAAGATTGCCAGGGTCATTGTCTATTTTGTGGCCCTGATATACATGTTTCTTGGGGTATCTATCATTGCTGACCGCTTCATGGCATCTATTGAAGTTATCACCTCCCAAGAGAGGGAAGTGACTATCAAAAAGCCCAATGGAGAGACTAGCACAACTACAATTCGGGTCTGGAATGAAACTGTCTCCAATCTGACCCTGATGGCCCTGGGCTCTTCTGCTCCGGAGATTCTCCTGTCTTTGATTGAGGTGTGTGGTCATGGATTCATTGCTGGGGACCTAGGGCCATCTACGATCGTCGGCAGTGCCGCCTTCAACATGTTCATCATCATTGGCATCTGTGTCTACGTGATCCCAGATGGGGAGACTCGCAAGATCAAGCACCTGCGAGTCTTCTTTGTCACTGCTGCGTGGAGCATCTTTGCCTATATCTGGCTCTATATGATCCTGGCGGTCTTCTCTCCTGGTGTGGTCCAGGTTTGGGAAGGCCTCCTTACACTCTTCTTCTTTCCAGTGTGTGTCCTGCTGGCTTGGCTGGCAGATAAGCGACTGCTCTTCTACAAGTACATGCACAAAAAATACCGCACCGATAAACACCGAGGGATTATTATTGAGACAGAGGGTGACCATCCTAAGGGCATTGAGATGGATGGGAAAATGATGAATTCTCACTTTCTAGATGGGAACCTGGTACCCTTGGAAGGGAAGGAGGTAGATGAATCTCGCAGGGAGATGATCCGGATTCTTAAGGATCTGAAACAAAAACACCCAGAGAAGGACTTAGATCAGCTGGTGGAGATGGCCAATTACTATGCCCTTTCCCACCAACAGAAGAGCCGTGCTTTCTACCGCATCCAAGCCACCCGTATGATGACTGGTGCAGGCAATATACTTAAGAAGCATGCAGCAGAGCAAGCCAAGAAGACCTCCAGCATGAGTGAGGTGCACACGGATGAGCCTGAGGACTTTTCCTCCAAGGTCTTCTTTGACCCATGTTCTTACCAGTGCCTGGAGAACTGTGGAGCTGTCCTCCTGACGGTGGTGAGGAAAGGAGGAGATGTATCCAAGACCATGTATGTGGACTATAAAACAGAGGACGGCTCTGCCAATGCAGGCGCTGACTATGAGTTCACAGAGGGCACGGTGGTTCTGAAGCCAGGAGAGACCCAGAAGGAGTTCTCGGTGGGCATCATTGACGATGACATTTTTGAGGAGGATGAACACTTCTTTGTGAGGCTGAGCAATGTCCGTGTAGAAGAGGAGCAGCTGGAGGAAGGGATGCCTCCAGCAATGCTCAATAGTCTTCCCTTGCCTCGGGCCATCCTGGCCTCCCCTTGTGTAGCCACCGTTACCATCTTGGATGATGACCATGCAGGAATTTTCACTTTCGAATGTGACACCATTCACGTCAGTGAAAGTATTGGTGTTATGGAAGTCAAGGTTCTGAGGACATCAGGTGCCCGGGGCACAGTCATCGTCCCTTTTAGGACAGTAGAAGGTACAGCCAAGGGTGGTGGTGAGGACTTTGAAGATACATATGGGGAGCTGGAGTTCAAGAATGATGAAACAGTGTAAGTAACGTTTTTGTATTTCATTCCTTCGTAGCCCATTCTGCGCCACCTCTCTCTGTACTTCTCTCTGTACTCCTTACACGGCTCCATCGTGTTTGTGTTAATCCCAAACTTTGCTTTCATCACAGGTGTGCAGGATCAGCAGACACCACTGGACATGTCCTGCTCCAAAGCCCTCCTTAAGTTTCCTATTTCTAAATTGTTTCTGGACAAAGAGTCCTGTGACAAGATCACAGGACACAGGATGTTTTGTCCACTGAAACTCAAAATGATGGACGGTAGAGAGGTGGGTGAGGCAACAGAAGTTTATACAAGATCTTGGAGAATGCTTGTGATCAAGCAAGAGCTGAAAAAGTACACAGGCTTCTCCTTCTCTCTTCCATCCCAAAGGTTATGAGTTTGGAAACTTACTATTCTAGGGCAATAGTAGTCTGGTCATAATATCCTCAAGAAATAATTGGCATTGGCCCATTTCTCCCCAGTATCACATTGCGGTTGTGCTGCCCAGCCAGGTTCCAGACACTACTCTTTCCATTTGGAAATTGAAAAATTGATTGAAACTTGGCGATGTCTTTAAATATCCATAAGCTATTTTGTGGAACAAGGCTTGTCTAACCTGAATGAGGCAAGTCGATATGGCCAGAGTACTGGAAGCATCATAAAGAAGGAAAAGCCTTAGGGCCACTGTCTTTTGCCTTTAGGGTCAGGTATAAGCTTCAGATTCTGGCTATGCACTGAAGGATATTTATGGAAGAAAATCTGTCTTCTGTGTGGTCCTCTGTTTTACAGTCCAAGACTCCCCTGTACTACTTCACCCCTTGTTGGCCCATCCAGCCCATCAGAACCTGAGGGACTGTTCTTCTGTCATCTCTCTTCACTGGCTCTTCTTGCAAAGGGGGCACTCTGCATGTATGGGTGCATACATAGCATTGAAAAAACAGTGGATGGCTCTCTTAGCTTACAGCAGGGTTGGCTTTTCAAGGAAGCTTAGGAGGACACCAATAAAAAAGGGACCCTCTGCTGAATACCCACTGTTTCCCAGCAGGAGACGGTGTGAAGAAGAGGTGTAAAGGGGGATGTAAAACTGTTCCGAGAACCTGCTGCTTCTACTTGTAGGAAATGGAATCATTCAGAAACCAGAAGGGAGGGCGGGGAAGAACATCATGGAAAGGGGGATCCATAGGCCCCAGGAAAGGTGTTCTTGGAGAATTTCTTCTCAGGGCTATCTACTGGGCAGCCATGGAACAATCTAAAAGGCTTTTTTGCCAGCAACAGCTGGGTAACCCAAAGGATTCTGTGTTTCCAAGTCTCTTCTGACTTTGGACAAGTCACTTAGTAATTGAAAGGAAACTCGCATATAAAGAGTGACAATGATTTCTTTGCCTGGAGGCAGGGTCAGATTATCATATACTTCCTTCCGGCTCTAAGATCTTCTGAACCCAATTTGTAGGCATTGAGTGTTGGTCATATTATCACTTGCTAACAGAATAGAGCAGGGGATACTGACTCCTGAAGAGAAATAGCCTTTGAAAAATTGATTTGTCAGAACACTGTTTAGTCGTTTTTTGCTAGGGAGGATAATCATTTGTTAGCATAAGCAAAAACCTGTGCCTTCCAGGGAATACTAGCCATTTCTACATGCTCTGAGGGTAATATTCATACATACAATTAAAGCCAGGCTCTCACTGGGAAGACGAACTTCTTTGTGTGAAGTTTCACACATATTTATAGTAATGTTTGCCTGTGAGTGCTCACTGTCAGGCATTAGATGACGTCGAATCTGCACAATTTCCTGTAAATTGGCTAGATTCAGGGGAATTCCCTTTCAAAATTTATCTTCTGGTGTCATAGAAGGTTAGCTTGGGGGAGGTCAGAAAGTGGTCCCTAATTTTTTTATTCTCTTAATAATCAGTTATCCATCTAGGGTCTCTGAGTATGACTACACCTTCTCAAAACTTGTGTGTGTGTGTGTGTGTGTGTGTGTGTGTGTGTGTGTGTGTGTGTGTATGTGTGTCTTGGCTTTAGTGAACAAATTTATGTTTCCATCTATCCCTTTGCACTGCTGTTTGACCTCAGTATGGTTTGATCTTTTAGTCTTCCTTACTGCAAAAGCATGTCAGTCAATTGCTGTACAGCCATCTGACCCACGGTGCTTTAAACTATAGTTTTATTACCAGAAGCAGCACTGTTATGGAGTTGAGGAACCATGGACTCTGAATACTTTTGGTCAGAAGTCTAACTTCTCTGTTGACTTAACCATGCGAGTAAGGAAAACTTTACTACCTGTGATGAATGTAACTCTCCAACTGGTAAAACAGGAATAATATCTTTCTTGCAGGGCTTATTGTGATACCTTGAGCTATTCTGGTTTTATGGCATGTGTTAAATAAACAAGGCTAGTAGCAGCAGTGTGATGAATGAACAGTATTTTCAGAAGACACTGAGGGAATCAGGTGGCTTGGATCTCTATATGACTGTAATTAATGAGCATGCTAGTTTCTGGTCACTGTGAAGAGTCCTCACCTGAACATATGAAATACTAGAGTCAGACAGGGCATTTCACTTTCTAGGGCACTCGTTCCTAAACATTATTATCAGAAGTACACATTATGATGCAAAGGTCTAGGGTAGAGCTGGTCCCAATTTATAAGTAAAGAGTATAAAAGTCCTGACCAAACCATGAGACCTAGAAATGAAAGCAGCTTTTCAAATGACTTGCTTAATTGAGTCAAGAATGAATACTTTCCAATTCCAGCCTTCAAACCCAACATATCAGCAACCCAACTCTTACCAAGGCCTTGCTAATTGCAAAGCTATTCTGGGAACTGAGTTTGACACCTTCGGGTGCTTGGACAGAAGCTGAGTGGTCTTTGGAAGAATCACTCTTTTGACTCCTTATCCTTTGAAGTTTTATTTGCCCAATAACCATCAAGCCTGGTGATACTGGAACTATTGCCTTGACTACAGTCATCTAGGTACTACCAAGCTCCAGGCAAGTTCATGCTCTATGAGGAATACTGGAGCTGAGGAGAAGGCTCAGTGAGTAAGCATGTTTTCTGTGACACCATGAGGATCTGAGTTCGAATCCCCAGAACCCAAAAAAATGAATGCATAGTGCAAGCACCTACCATCTCAGGGCTCCTGTGAAGAGATGGAGGATGGAGACAGGAGAACCCCTAGGAGTTGGCAGGCCAACTAACCTGACATACACAGTATAAAAACAATAAAGAGGTCCTGTCTCAGACAAGGTAGAAGATGACTGACAGCCAGGATTGTCTTCTGGGTTCCACATGAGCTCTGTAGCATGTGTGCTCCCACATTTACACACATGAATGCATGTGTGCACACACTAGATCCGGCAATGTTTCTTGCTTACTGCTTTAAGGTAGCATCACGGTATGATGGAAAATCCTGAACCCTGAAATCTGACAAATGGATATGAACACACCCCTCACTGGCAGTGTAACTTTGCATAGTGATGTCATCTGCATGCGTTCTAGAGATGTGGTTGTTGTTGAAACAATAGAAATAATACGATCTATCAATCTCTGAGATAATGATAACTTCAAACTACAAATAGGAAAAATATGCACTCTTAGCACAGTGCCTTCTCCTAGAAGGCACTCAGTCATTCAACAAATGTTTATTAAATGTTTATTATGTGTTAGCTCATTACTCACCACTGAGGATAGAAAAATGAGAAAAGCTGGCATTCCATCTTCCAAGGATCTTATATTCTCAGAAAGAAAGGCTCAATGTATACACACAAATACAGACCCACGGAAGAACAGTATGTTTGGGAAAGTGTCAATAGAAAGGGGAACAAGAGCTCCCTACTGTGTGTGATAGACAAGCTCCTTGAGTATGAGAGACACCACTCAAGTGTTAAGGAACCTTCACTAAGGACACAGTAGTGATAGAAGTGGGGTGGAAGTTGGTGTGTGGCTGACTTACTCCTGTATTCCATGAACCCTGGACATTTTGTAACGGATGCTACTGACATCTTCATGATCCAGGAGAATCCCCAGTTTTATGCCTATCCCTACAGAATTATGGCTTCTGAGTCTACAGCAAACAGTAGCAAAACCTCTTGGAGATATGAGTTTTGTCTGCATGCTAATTTCACTCATTAAACAAGCGACTGGCTCCTATATATCTCCAGCTCACAGCACGCTGCTGTAAAATAACAGGTTATTGCAGCTTACAGACCTTGGGGGGGGGGTCTCTGGGAATAGTCAAAGCCACAGATGTCAGCTATGTAAATGGCAGGACCTACTATAATTAAATAGCAGAGGCCGCCTTCAAGGAAGAGCATAGTATTGGCTGTGCTGCACATGTTCCAAACAAATTATATGTTAAAGCTGGAAGATATTTGACCTCTCATTTTGCAAATTATAAAGCTGAGTTCCAAGAGTGAACGGGATTTTTCTCAATTTCACATTAGATATGATGGAAAGCCGGGGTTTGGGGGGACGTCAGAAGCTGCCAAAGGTGATGTCTCCTTCAGCTTCAGACATCTCTGTTTTATTTTTACTCACCAGTAAAATGTTAGCTTTGGAAAGACTTTGGATGTGAAAGCTACTTTGGGAGTGCAAATCTTGGAATATTATGTGACTAATGTCTTAACTAAGAATAATAATACAGCACAGACTATTTTTAATCCCTTGGTTCACCTTGAGACTATTTAGGAAGTAAGACCCTGAGCCAATGGAGTTTTTATTCTTAATAAAGGTTTGTCTTCACTGGACTCTTCTGACTCCTAAGGCCAAAGTTTCCTCTTTCACTCCTAAGAACAAAGGCAAGGCAAGGCAAGTGAGTGAGGGTCCTTCCTGATCTGATCTTTCCATCAAATTCCTAGATGGTTTGTATGTGTTATATGTGTGCATTCCCTTCTACCTTTGGCTAGGTTTCCCCTGGCCTCATGAAGAAGGCAGCAGGCTGACATTTCAAGATGTTGTTTTCTTCTTATTTTTTTTTTAAATGAGAAATCAAGCTGTGCT